TTGGTGTGCTTGCTTGCTTCCTAACTCGTACGTACATCTATCAGGTCCATGGCCTTTTTTTGCCACATCACTCTGTGATGGTGTAGATGGTGATCAGGACAGGAGTTGGAATTTGCTGGTGGGAACTGAGCTCAACCCGGGAACCATTGTCACACAAAAGGTAATAAACAAATGGTATCCGGGGCACAAAAAAACAAAACAAAAATGAAGAAGGATTCTGCAGATTTCCCAAAATAGTTTTGTTCAAAGGATAAATAAATTAGGCAACAATATATATGTGTATGAAAAGTGATAACAGCCGAGGCACCGAGTCGACCAACCTTTGAAGAAACATTGATGCGTGTGCGCGCGCGCGCGCGCGCACGCGCGCATTGCAGCACAACACAGCACCGCCAACCACAGTGTGGAAGGCGGATAGAAGACAGGAATGCACTCAGTCGAACCTGAATGTGCTAAGTGCAACAAACAAATTAGAACCACCCCGATCCCGCCCTTGATTTGTGATCATCAAACGCCTAACGGGCAACTAAACACCTATGTAGTGCTTTAGCGATTGGACGAAATTATACCACAGAAATTATTACACAATTCTGAGGACAAATGAATGAGAAAATATAGAACAACAACGTGTCAAGGTGTGGCTGGGTGAAATGTGATAGACATGAACAGGTAGATGTTCGCGTAATATCTGTAAAAACTTTAGTGGCAGTAACAGAAGTAGTATGGGTAGTGCGAGTAGTAGTATTAATATCAATTGTTACAATAATAACACATCAGTAGTCTTGGTAGGATAGACAGCAGTAGTAGTAATATAAGTGGTGTTATTAGCAGTAACGGTTACGTAACTCGATTATAGTGACTGACCTATTGCTCCAGATAGAACCTGGTCACCGTGTCCAGCAAAAAATGAATCATATCAACTACTAAACTGGCAAGCAGTTTCATGCCTAGCAACGCGTTCAAGCGGTTGCAACAGGACAGCGTTAATGGCATGATGCACGCTTACCACACAATATCGTGTGATGAACAGTGAAATAAGGGAAGCTCTGTGGTGA